GAAGTAGCTGAGTCCAGTAATTCATACCAGACTTTGCTTTTGTCACCAAAGTATCCCCATTTCTAATAATGGTTTTGCATCCTCCTCTCTGTGCTATCATTCAACTCAAAAACCATAAAAACCTTGTCAGAACTTGAGTAATTCTGTGCATCTCTGCAAGCAAAGCACCAAGGAAGAGCAGCAGCACCTTATCAGACTATTCAGGTCACTTTATCTTCCTTGTGAAACTGCCCACAGGAAACACGTATCATGGTGTAAGTTACACAACTCATCGTTAGTGTGAACATTCAAATACCAGTCACACTAAACCTGTAGAGCATGCTACACTACAAATACACTACTTAGTCCATCAGCTAACCTATGACACAGGTTTGATACAAAGATATTTCCAAGGGTAAGTATCAGTTTTCTCAATCAGTGCTCAAAAACATACAAGAAAGCAATACACTTCAGTTTTAGACATAGGGTAGAACCCAGACTGGCCTTGGCAGTAAGGTAAAGTTTTTACCTTCTTAGAACTTTGACTACTTATTTGGGCTGTTATTCAAATGCTATCAAAATACAATGGTAAGCTTCTGACATTAAAGAGCAGAAAGATTTGAATAATCTTTCATTAGCATCACAAGAAAGCAATTTGTAAATGAACCAGTTCAGTATACAGACTGTAGCTGCAGAGTGCATACAGGTCATCAGCATCTAACACACTTCCCAGCTCAATTAGAAACTGTAGTAACTGTTGTCAACATGCAGGGTCTAGACCCTGCAATAAAAGCTTATTAGCAACGGAAGTGCATAAGATTGACTAACAACTTACTGCAAAAAAGGTCAAACTCAACAGCTGTACTTAGAAGCAGCCTCCACCTAAGAACACCAAAAATGCAGGCTGAAACATGTCTGGCTTGAAACGTTCTGCATTTCTAAAGCTTCATAGCCAAAATTAACTGATATAATGGAGCAGCTTCTGTTTGGCTTCTCAGCCACCACAGAAAATGCACCTCCTTCCGTGTTTACTGGAAGAGCTCAATAAGCTGCCTACACTGCCAGCTCAAAAGCAGCTGCACAGCCTCATGGCCCAGCAACTAGTTTGAGCCACCACTGCTTACCAGAGCTAGGCTTACAGACAAGCAATGAGCCACTCTAACCAACAAAGCATTCTAACCAACCATCTCACTTGGAGCCAGCACCAACGCCAAGTCAAAGGGCTGACAAAATATTGCTGAAGCCACATTGTACAAACAACTAACTGGAAGCAAATTGTGCTACTGGCAACTGCTTCCAGCCAAGGAAAACAGGCACAAATATGCCTGGCACAGCTAGTCACAGGACAGAGCACAGAGAGCACATGCAGGATGAGCAACCTTCCCACCGAACCCTCCAGCCACTGTTGCAGCACTACCAACACCAGGTAAGCACCTCTGTTGCTGGATTTCCAAAACAGAGTTGAAATGCCAGAAAAGAGGTTACTTGGAGTGGTTTCCCTTGTGGTTTCACTCTATTCAGTGAGTAGGGTGGAGGCTTCAGACGCTGTCTTCAAGTAGGTCAGTGCAGGATGCATTTTGTTTCTCCATCCTAGGAACAAATTTGCACAGTACTACTTTAACTCCATCTGGATGGTGGTTCTCAATGAGCACCTTTATAGCAGCTTCCAGTAATACCTTGTTTTCCAAAAACAACATGTTATACAAACTCCTGGGGAGCTTGAAGAGAAAGGGATGAAAGGGCCTCCACCACTACGACGTGCAAATGAAGGCAAACACCTTTGCAATTCAAATCCACCCACTGTACAGACACCTGTACTTCACTCAAAGTCACTTCCAGAAATAAACATGTAAATTAACTGGGTCAAAATCTGACCAATTTAACACAGTTACAGAGTAACTCTGGACCAGGAATTACCTGCAATCCAGGGAGTTATTTCTGATTTACATCAGTAGCTCCCAAAATATGCAGAGCAGTTATGTTCAGATCTGACCTAACCACTTTTTTCCCTGACATTTTTCTCCCTTCTTAATAAATCCTGAATGCTTCAGTATGACTACGGAAGCAGAGATACAAGTTGAGGGTTATTTCAGGGTCTGGGAAGTGTGCAGAGCCTATCCTCTTCAACCAGTAAAATTCATAAACAAGTGTTAACTACTTTCCCCTAACTATAAAAGGGCAGCTATAACACTCTTCTGCTCACTGGTGCACAGGCTGCATTGCATTGCATTTCTAGTAGCTTAAGTCTATTTTACCACTGTCACCTTAACAATGCCCCTGTGCAGGTGTGCCTATGACTGAAAAACAGAGTCCTCTCACCTCACTGCCAGACACAGGTAAGGCTGAGAAAATATGGGAGGAAGGTGGAGCAGGACACCATGCAATGAGTCAGGCTTCTGTGAAATTGCCAAACTGAAGGGGGAAGTTCAGCTGACAGCTGTTTGAAGTTGCAGATGAATTAATTGTACCCAAAGCAAGTGGAAAAATACTGCTCCTTGTTGGGTAAGTACCTGTTTGAGCACCACTCTTGCTGCACCGTTATGTGCAGCATAAATTTCCGCAAATGTGCAGCTGCAAATTTCCGCAAAAAGTTTACTCAAGCTCAGCTTGCTCCAGGGTACTTCCAGGTAGAGGTCAACCCATTTCACCTGCTGGTGTAACTAATTTCCACTAATTGCTTTCAACCCAGATCAATCCAAACAGGACCAAAAAAAAAGTCATTACAGTAATTACTTTTCACAAAGCTGCCATCACAAGTAGGTACCCCCCTTGGTAAAAGTGAAGAGCACCTGAGGTGCACCTTGGGAGTGCAGTTCCAGCTGTAAAGAATGTGCAGCCTTTGCTTTTTGCTTCAAACATGGGTAATGAAGTTACCTATTGACATGACTCAGGACCAATCCACATAATGTGATAATGAAACAACATTCCAATACTCTGAACCAGCAAGAAAGACTCCTGTATTGATTTTGTGCAATCCTAATGCATAACAATTCATGCACAGTAATATACTTCTGGTTGAACATAAGTTAGATAAATAAAAGTGGATGTTACACTGAGACATAGCAAAGATTTGAAATTTGACATTTCTGTGCATCAGCATAAGAAACCAAGAGCCGTGTAAAGAGACTGCTATAGATAGCCAACTTTTAGTTCCACAGACAATGTTGCCAACAAGTGTTCTTTATGGAGAGGTGCTTTGTTACAGTCAAAATGTCTCACTATGCTGTTTACTACTTACTACCTAGCGATGTAAAAAGAAAAAAACAAACCCAAACCCAAAACTACAGTGCTTTGGCCATTACTTTAATTTGTCTAATTTTCCTCCAAGTATTTTTTTTTAATAAGAAACTGTCTGAAAAGCTTTTCTACTAAAGCTTTTCTACCCAATTTTGCATTAGTGCAATCAGTCTCTTCCTTCTGCCTTTTGGGTTTTTTCCAAGCCAGAAGGGATGTCTCCCTGCTCTTCCTTAATACCAATACAAAACAAGTAAATATCATTTCTGTGTGTACATGCATGCAAGTCTCACAGGAAAGAAGGCACATGAAATACTATGGACTACAAACCATTTTATTTTACTTGTTCCTTTAAAACTATGTCTAAAAAGAAAGAGAATAAACTTTCTCTCTCAAACCATGCTATGTAATAAAACAGTTTTAGCATGTAGGTTCCATTTAGTTTTCATGAAGAAAGCTTATATAGCAAACATACCACAGAAGCCTCTATCACTGTCATAGGCAGACATTTTTCTCACCAATAAAAGCTTTGTCACATGATATGCAAATTTCTCACCTGTAAGCTGGATTTTTTAAACAAAATTTTGTGATTATAATATATGAAAACACATTCATATAGTTAACTTCTCTGTATCTACCTAATCTACAAGATAAATTTTACTAACCTGTGCACAAACCCTATCATTAACACCAAAACAAGGATACAAATACCCTCAACTAATAGGAACTAATGCAAAAGCTTCATGTCACATAAGAATTTTTCTTCCTTAAGGATATCTCACTTCAACAAAAATAAAGGAAATTTACATAAGGAAATATCAAAATTTAACGTGTATGCAATTATTTTGTACATTGTTAATTCAACTTGGTTTAGTGACCAGTAAATACTAAGGATTATAAATTATTTGAAATATCTTATGAAATAGCATTCAAACTGCACTTGAACAAAACTTAAAAAAACTGATAGAAATCAATCCCAAATCCAGGAAATCATAGATAGCATTAAAATTACAATCTAAATTACATAGATAGCATGTCCTTCCTGAAATGACTGTATTTAGCACTTCTGAAAACCCAGAAAACACTCAAAGAGTAAGTCATCCTGGTTTTGAAATAAATTTCTCCTAAACCTTTTTTCGTCACTTGCTAGAACATCTAACTTGTAAAGGGTACATGGCACTGTACTTCATCTTCTGAACACTAAAAAATCAGTATGACCTTGATTTCCCTATCAGCATAACTGTATTGCTACAATTTCTATACCATCAACTTGGGAGTGATACAAACTGAGGTGGCAAAGCTGTGTTGTCACAGACTAGAGTCCTGGATAGAATTTTATAGTGTAAATATAAGGCAATGTTGTAGCATAAATTTTTATATTATACTTTAAATGGCAGGACTTGAATTTTCATAAATTTTTAAAACCCCTCAACATAATATCAAGTATTATTTTCAGAAACTAATAAGCAACTAATCAAATGTGAATGTCAGATCCACAAATCACTTCAAATTCAAATTGACAACTCCTTTAACTGAAAGTATTAAAATTACTTTCCCTCTATAAATGCTAAGTCTCAAATCTTCAGATGAAGTACGACCTTTCCAACTCACTCTCTACCTTCCTTTCCAATGACAACATGAAGACCAGAAAATTTTCAAGTTTCATACGTTATACTTACTCTAACGTGATTTTGTTAGAACTGAAACACAAAACTGGTTCAAAATAGCTAGTTAAAGGTTTAATTTTGAAATTTTATTGGAGAAAAATCCAATATGCTTATTCTTACCTTGGTAGAAAGACACTTTCCACTACATAGAAGTCTTGCATAAGAACATCTCTGTCTGGCTTTGATGTAAGATTTCCTACTGTGTATCCTATTCCCAATTGGATAGCACCTTTAATAGCCGAGGATGCAGTCTGTGTAAAAAGTAAGAATTCAAGCATGAGTTCGCTAAAAGCAGATTTCTGTTCTTTATCGATCATATTATAGCTAAACACTTTGATTCTTTTCATAATTACAACACCCTGTCATCTTCACATCCTAGACCTCAGTGATTTTGAATTAAAATATTTAAAAGAATCACTATATACAAAGTGAAACTTTTCAAATTACCCAAATAATTTAGACATGGAGTTCTAACTCAGCACAGAATTACAGAATAGCAGGTTGGAAGGGACCTCAAAAGGTTCAACCATTATCCCATTATGTTCAACCTTTCTTGACAAAACCATGATCTAGACAAGACAGCCAAGCACCCAGTCAAGCCAAATCTAAAAAATGGGAATCCGCCAGTTCTGGGGAGTTCATTCCACTGGCTGATTGTTTCCACTGTGAAATATTTCCACTTGTGTTCAAGTTGAAAATTCCCAGGAGTAACTTTAACCCATTATCCCTCATATTTTCCCATATGTGACCCCTTGTAAAAATAGGGCCTCTATCTTTGTAACCACCCTTCAGATACTGTAACATGGTGATAAATTTCCCCTCAACCATCATTTCTCAAGGCTGAGCAAATCCAACTCTCTCAGCCTCTCCGAACATATCAGGCTTCTCAGCCCTTTGATAATCTCTGTGGCCCTTCTCTCCACCCTCTCCAGCCTGTCCGTATCTTTTTTGTATAGCGGAGACCAAAACAGACAACAGTATTCCAGGTGTGGCCTGACAAACGCTGACAGGAATGGGATAATCTCTGCTGCTGATGGCCCTCTTGATGCAGCCCAAGATCTCACTGAGCTCCTTTGCTCCAGCAGCACACTCCTCACTCATATTGAGTTTTTTGCTCCCTGGGACTCCCTGGTTCCCTTCCCCAGATCTGTTCCTCAGCCTTGTGCTCCCAGCCTGTGCTGCCCTCCTGGATTACACCTGTCCTTGCTAAACTTCAAAAGGCTCTTCTTTGCCCACTCTTCCAGCCTACACAGGTTTTCCTCCAGCATGGCTCTCCCTTCCAAAGTGCTCACTTGATCCCTGAGTGATTTTGAGTGCTCTGGATGACCACATATGAAGACACAAAACAGCGCTGGGCCCAATACCAATTCCTGGGGGACTCCACCTGTGCCAGTTGGAAAAGGAGCCATTTACCCCCACTCTGGGTGCTGCCTGTGGGTCAGTTCCCCACCCACTGCACCGGCAGCTTGTCCAGACTGTTACACAACAGCTGGACAGGAAGATGACCAGCAGAGTTGTTACACAACTTCACCAGGAAGCTGTGGGAGACCACAGAGAAAGCCTTGGAGAAACACAGGCAGACAACATCCGCAGCTTGCCCCCCTCAACCAAGCAGGTTACTTTGCCCTAGAAGGCAATCAGGTTTGTCAAGCACAATTTGGCCTTGGTGAACCTGTGCTGGCATTTCCTAATCATATGCTTCATCTGACTTGTGATGGCTCCTAGGAGGATTCTTTCCATAATCCTTTCCTTTGCTTTAGTATTAACCTTCAGAGTGCACAGCCAGACGCCAAACTCCACAATATTGTGATCACTGTAGCCAAAGCCATCACTAAGTGAGATATTACAAAGCTGGTTTCCTTGGTTAGTGAGCAGCCAGTCCAGCCATGCCTCATTCCTGGTTAGCACATCTAACATCTGCATGAGGAAGCAGTCCTGTATGCATTCCAGGAACTTGATGGATGTTGTGACCTGCTGTATTGCTCTACCAAGAATGTCTGGATAGTTGAAGTCACTGAAAAGACCCATGATCTGTTATCCAAAAGTTGCTAAGTGACCCTGATTAAGTGCTTCTTTGCCCTTTTTGTCTTGGTTTGGAGATCAGTAGCAGATGCCTAATCTAAGATCGCCCTTGGGGATGTCCCTTCTGATCTTGATCCAGCAGCGTTTGATAGGGCTTCCATAGTCACTGTAGTTGACCTCTCTATGTTTATGATTCACTTTTAACCCAGAGCACAACTCCTTCTCCTCTACTTTCCTACCTGTCTTGACAAAACCCATAACCATCCTTTGTGATCCTCTTAAAACAGTTGCAATCTAACAGGATATTCAAATTGCTTCAGGATTGTGAAGCACGCATTATATTCTGGAAAAAACCAGTCACAAATTCCAGGTGATTGTACATGCATGACAAGGCATCACAATGCAAGTTTATGGCTTAAATGCTGATTCTACATGCAAATAAATGTATTTATTAGCTTCTGCCTAACAGTCCATGCAAGAGATCCACTGACTGTAGGGGGTCCAGAGAAAAATGAAATGGGGAAAGCAAAATCTCTCTGTAAAAATCTACCCTTATAAAGTGCAATGACTGAATTCAAAGGCCAGAGCTTCCAGGACAGAGAAGGCTTCAAAACAGCAGCATGAAATTGTGATACTATATATGTGTAAATTGAAACCATATCTGAAACTTTCCTGCGCTGAATAGACAGTCACGCTACATTAATTTAAAAAAACAAAACAAAACAGCAAGTCAAAATCAGAAAGTAGTCAAGAAAGGAATTTGTAATGAAACATGGAAGGAGTGAATAAAGAAAACCACTGGGCAGGGAAAGAATGCCATGAGGAAGGGAGTATCTTCCCTTGCATGATCACCAGTTTAAAGACAACATGCTTGGTCCCTGTTTTTAGTTTTTACCTCCTACCTACTAAACAAGAAAGACACTAACAGAGAACACCAGAAGTTTCATGATCAGAACCACTTCAGCACTTGAACAGAACCATTTCAGGAGTGGAAATTACATAACAAGTGGTTCAAGTACACAAAGCTAATCTTGTTCTAGTTCTTGGAACAGAATGGCTGCTTATTTTTGGAAAAGACAGAGATGTGTAGCTCTTAAATAATTAAGACTGCACACCAAGCAGAACTTATACTTGCATAACAGCTTAGTACCAGCGATTTGGTGGGAACAAACAACAGTCCATTCTGAAAGTACTACTTTGACTAGTAAAAAGATTTGGCTTTGTGTCATAAGAAGAGTCACATTTTTCTTTCCTTGAAAGGCTTCTATTCATGAATGATTAATGCCTAACAAAAGCTGTAATTATGTAACTTTGATCAAACCAATACACATACAAATAGTTTCTGCTTCATTGCTAGAAGCCCATCTTGTTCACTGCCACAGCAAGCAACTATGTCTGAAAGAACAGCAGATAGTACAGTACAACAGAGGACATGCCATTCCAAATAAACCCTGACAAAACCCACCAAACTTCAAAAACACTCAAGACAAGTAACCTGGCAATGTGACTTCAAAAATAAATGTCTGGATCATTATCAGTTTCTCGAGGTCTGGATTGAAGGCACTTGAGACAGTAGTTCATGTTCAGACTCAGGTGTTTATTATTTCTTATCAGTGAAACAGCCTCACAACCATGAGTTCGGCAGCCTTTCATTAGAAGGCACTAAATGGCTATGTCTTGTTAAAGGTCTTTTAAGACTAAACTATCCAATTAAGAAAGGACACCTAGATTATTTTCCCTTTTAACCTAATAACTGATCCCTTGAAGCCTGCAATGTCGACTTTTCTGTCCAGTTACAAAACATCACCCAAATTCATGAAGAAGGAAGAAGGTAAAAAGGAACAACCTAACTCCGACCTAAACCTCCATCTTGCTTGATATTTATTTCTATGTTCTAAAGCCACAAACTCTAAGTTTTCCACCCTGTGACATTACACCCTTCTAACCAACTACACACCTGTAATCCCAGTGTTATCAATCAATTTTTGAAGTCTTCTCCACAGCCTCAGGTCAGTTGCAGTGTTCTCTTGTGGGTCTGTGCCTTTAAGCACAGAAAGTTTAAAATTCTCAGCATCCAGGCTTCCAACGGATCACCTTTCAAGCTCATAAAAATATTTGTAGTATTTTTTTTCAAAGTCAAAAGACCCAGAGACTTTTAGTCTCCGCAAGGCAGAATGTAAGACCTTCTAATACAATGACACTGACCTTTCCTAAAAGGTTACCTTCTTGTTAATTTCCACTCACAGTCAAGAACGTCATTAGTAACCACTCATCATTTCTGCAGCAACCACAGAAGTTGGTTTAGCAGAAAAGTAATGTTATGAATTCATAACTGCTTTAAATGCTTTAAAAATTATTTTGAAACAAATTGAGAGCTGCTACAGTATGCTGAAGGCAACTGCTGGCCCAAAGTCCACTTTTTGTCAATCACCACTAGGACCAAATGCAGGTAACTCAGTATGCCCTTAGGAACTGACAAGTATTTGTTTTCACAGTCCACAAAATAAAAACAGAACAAGCCTTGGAATTAGTCTTTTAAACAGCACTTTTCTTAATTTTTTATATTACTATTATTAATAATTTTATTATCACCATTAAATCCAAGGAAAATATAAAGAAGTTCCTTCTTAAGCCTTAGGGGAAATGTCCTTGAAACATTCATTTTATTACTACAAAAACGTATTTATAGGAAACTGCAAATGCAACTGGAAAAACGGAAGTCTCTTGTGAATTCTTCCTTACTTGGGCATCTCTTTTAATTCCCATTAAAAGCATTAAGGCAGTAAAAGGCAGCAAAATCTAGTTTCAAAACCTAAGCCCCTTATTTATTAAAATTTGTCTTGAATACTCTCCTGCTGCAAAGCAAACAATAAAATTCAGCCTTCTGCACCATGGGTTTTTCCAGTCTTTTAGAGACTGAAATGAATTTTCCTTCCTATTAGTCTCATGAAGAGGTTCAGAAAACGGCCCTGAGATTATTTATTAACTGTAACTGTAAAGCTGACAGTGCACAGTGACAGTACGATGAGTTCCAGATAATTTAACCTGTTATCAACCTTCTGAAGACCAAGAAATATTAAGGGATGACAATAACCAGCAGCATAAAAATGTTGATGAATTTTAGGTTATGAAATTGAATTTGTAGCAAATGCTGTACACTATGATAGCTGTCTTTGTTACATAAAGGGGAACAAAGCAAAACTTCTCCTATCCTCCTTCTGCTTTTTGG